AAAAAAAAAAACAAATAAATCAGGAATTGGATGGAGTATCGCAGGTGATGAGATGAACGATAATGCAGGCCAATTACCTGGTGGGAGCGGGCGGAGGAGGCGGTGGCGGGGGAAGACTCCGGCGGATTCTCCGACCAAGTGAGCAGATCTGCCGTAGAAGTGTGAGGCTTCCTCACCGGAGTTCTCTTGTCCATGGCTGGTCTAAGTGTTGTGGGCGAAAGAAAAATAAAGTGAGTGATATGTATGAATGAATAATGGATTTATAAAGAGCGACTCTTCAAATCAAAATGGTTATTTATCTAATCTATATATCGTCCGTCTGGAAAGACAGCAACAAGAGGAGGAAAGTGATGAAAGCTGAAATGACGATTTTGTCCTCTCGAGATTTGCTGCGTTTTGTTTTGCTTCTTCTCTTGTGGTTAGATTAGATCAGAATATCAGCTGCTTTGAGTTGCGAGTTGACTCGACTCCAGTGTGCACACCGTTACCTCCGATAATATAGGGGCGTATTTGGCATTTACAACTTTTCAAAAACCAATGCTTTAATTTTAACTAGTACGTTACCCGCGCGTTGCGCGACCTAATATTAAAAATGGTGTGAATAAATGAAAATTTAATAAAAAAATATTTTTAAAAAAATTTATTGAGATAATGTAGAATAAATTTTTTATTAATCCATTTAAAAATACTTTCACAAATACAACATCAATAGAAAGTGAACTGTGTATCACCAATAGTAATAACAATAATTAGGCAACATGGATTGTGACTCCAGAAACAATAACAATTAACAAAAAAAAAAAAAATCCAATATAATTTGTTTTGAAAAATTTTAAAATTAAATTTTTAAGCTTACAAAAATGTGATATACCATGAAAAAAAAATATTGGTCACATTAATGACTCTTCAAAATTTTTCATAAAAATGTATATGTTATAACATAATTTTCATAGTTCAAAAAAGAAAATACAGTCATGATTACTATTGTACAAATAAACTAATATTGAATATTAATGTTAACATGTAAGAAGATGAAAAATTAAAATATATAAATACAAATTAAATACCTAATAAAAATTAAAATAACTTCTATCTGCATGTATTTAATTTTAAATTAAGTCTACATATTTTTTTTCTTTTTTATTAACAAAATAAATCTCAACTTCGTTTTTTCACAAATTAAGTGCGATGGTGATTATAGAATGACGTGAAAGATTGATCATTTTTCATAAAGTCAT